TTCCCAAGAGAAATTCCAATGTAGCAAGTGACCTGGGAAGCCTGATTCAGCATGTATAATTTAGTGAACTGGAAGATGACAGAGTTTTATACAGAGTTCTTATCCAAATAATTTACAAGACAGTAGAAGTAAGCACAAATCTGTACTGGCAAAGCATGAATTATCCTAATTAGTTAAACATCTGATCGAGTTCAAAATCAATAGTCGTAGGAGTTCAGCCTTAGCTGATATTGTTCTTTCAATAATACCTGTCCAGTTTAGCACTCAGGGGAAAACAAACTAGATATTTTGACCCACAACTGTATTTGTTAATTTATCATAACTAGCATATTACATTCAACCACATATTGAAAAGGGACAGATATGTCATTTTCCATCTTCTGGAGCTAAATAATTTAGTCCAGTAAAGGTCAGCATTGCAAAGATCTTTCAGGGATTTATTCTTCTTCTAGACTGGGTAACTTTACAACAGCCTCTCATTTACTGAATTCCTTTTTCCGAACTTTTGATTTTGGTGCTGCCAAAAAGGAAAAAAAAAACACCTGAGGTCACTAATATTCAAATCTATAAATGTCTACATGGATTAAAATGCTGATATGAGGTTTTTACCATTTGGATTCTCTTGTCTGTAGAAGGTTTTCAGCATCTCCACAGCTTCCTCGGATCGATAACCAGCTATGCACTAAAGAAATTAAACACATTGCTCAAAAATGCATCTTAAGTGAAGCTAGAATTTTCCAGTTAAGACTTCATTAACTTTAAGTGGGAGTAACATAGCTTCTGTTGTTGCTATGCTGGAGTGTTAGAATAAGACTAGCACCTATTAAACGTTGTTTACTAGGTAACTTTTAAAGGCAGAGAGATGCATGTGTGACTTTTGATTAGCCACAAGAAGGTAGCACAGAACAAAAAAATGTGATCAGAAGAGGATTTTTTTTCAGCAGAACGTTTCATGGGAATTTAGAGGGACAATAGTGGGGGGATTGTTACACTCCTTCTCTCCCCCCCCCCTTCATTTGACTGGCACAAATTCTTAAAGGAGTCTTTTCAGATAGCTATGACTGGAAATAAAACTACTTAAGTGGACATGTAAGTGAAGTGCATTTGCTTCTTTCAAACCAACTTAAATGTTGTAGCTCAACAATTCTCAAATTTATGGACTTCCGGTTTGACCCTCTTCATGGACAGACCGAAACCGCATCTGTGGTCACCGCTGGAGCGCCCCGAGCCAGCTGGTTTTGGGGCTAAGCTACCCCATAGAGGTGGTGAAGAGGGGGGAGACTGCCAGCAGGGTTGAGGAGAGCCGCATCTCTCCTCCTCAGCTGGCCTTACTCCCTTTCCCGAAGGCGGTTGCAGCGGTGGTCAGAAATGGCCACCTCAAAGAAGAACTCTACCGGAAAAGAATGTGCAGGAGAAGATAAGAAGAGAAAGTTTTGGTTGACCGGGATGAACTGCAAAAGCAACAACTAAGGTACCCTGGAATTTAAACTAAAAAAAAAGTAACATTGTTCCCAAAGAAGACTTTGAAGGAGAGAGAAAAAGGAAAGGATTTGTTTTTTCTTCTTCTCTCCCTTTCCCTATGCTAACAGCTAAGAGATTTAAATAAGAAATTAAAAAAAAACCCACTTTGACATCAATAGGCATTTAAGCTGAAAATAAAATGTCAAAGGGATAATAAAGATTTCTGGATACTTAAAAGCTTTTAAAAGCAGGAAAGGAGAGAAAAAGAATAAAAGGGCAGGATCTGGAAAAAAGGGAGAAAACTGCCTGTAATTAAAAGGAATTTACAGTAAAACCTCAACAAGACTTCTAAAAGATACATTTTAACTGAAACTTGGCAACAAAATAGTAGAACCCCAGGAAAAGAAATGAAAAAAGAAGCATGAAGAAACAGCTTGGGAGTATTTGGATTATTTGGTGATCTCTGGATTTTTGGCTATTGGATTTAAATGACTAAAATCAATCAGGTGGTTGTTTAAAAGTGTTTAAAATGGCATCACTTTTAGAAGAACTGAAAATGGAACTTAAAAAACAGAAAGAAGATGCACAAGAAGGAAGAGGTTCTTTTGGCTTCGTATTTCAATTTTTAGAAATGGAGATCTGGAACTATGACAAACAACAAGAAATGCCTGCAGAACAAGAAGATTGGGACAAAGAAGAAGCCATCTTTAATGAACAAGTAATTTTATGTGGGGAAAAAAGGAAAGGGGGGAAAGAGAATGAAAAGTTTAAGATGTGGAAAAACAACCAAGAAAAGGAAGAATAGTTTGAAAAATAAGTATAATATTAGAAAGCAACAGAAGAGGGGAATACAGAAGAGAGAATTAGAAGTAGAGAGACAAGGGGGTAAAAAGGGGAGGGAGAAGGAGAGAGGGAAGAAGGAAAGGAAAAGAAGTTATAAAGGATAGAAACAAGATATGGAGAAACAGGGCCTATTTAGAGATAATGGGTGAAAATTTAATTGAAAAAGGGATTCTGCAAAGGTACATAAGATAGTATTGTTATATTAGAAATAATTTTAGAAAATATGAAACAACGTATGATTAAAATGATGGATAAATTAGTTATTGTAATCTAGTGAAATGTTTGTTAATAAATAAAGGAAATAAAACGAATGAGAGAATTGAATTAGGAAAGGATGGGAACATTTTAATTATTTAATGTTTTATAAAATATAAGGGAAGAGAAATGGGGGGGGGAATTAATTACGCAAAGCTTATAAGTGTTCCCAAGGAAGTATGATATTTAATTGAAAAGAAATGTTAAAGATGTTAAGATTTTAGTGATTATTGATGATAGAACTGAATTGGAATGGAATGAGTGTTTTAATTACATATATTTATAATAACTTTTTAGGAATATAGTGTGTATTTTAAGAATGAACCAAGCAGAATTCGATTGGAAGTTATGTATTATCTTGAATGATATAACCTCAAGGTATATATTGAAGCTTAAATAAGAGTTGAATGGATAAAATTAAAAGATTTAAAGGTGTCATACTCCAATTAGTAACTACAGGAGAAAATTTGTTTAATGAGAAAAGAAAATATGAAATTGAAACAGGACAGACAAAAGTATAAATATAATGATTTGAATTGAGATGAGATAATTAAAATAAAATTGAGAAAATTAAGAGAGGAGAAAAACTTTGTAGAAAATGTAAAACAGTAATAAGATATGGAATAGAACATAAAAGTGAGCATGAAATTGAGTTTGTGTCTGTATGAAGAAGTGTAACCTAGGACCATGCTATTTTCAAAAATAGATGTTTTATTTGTATTATGTTTTATTTTTTTGTGAAAACCCAAATAAAATTTTCAAAAAAAAAATAATCTCAAATTTATGAAACTACATTTGAAACTATGAAACTGGGGTTAAAGAAATCTCGGAAATATGACTTTGAAAGAAATGTGAAAAGATAATCATGGATTGTTGGTTAGTAAGTCCACAGAGTGTTTCTGTCCAAAATTTGTTTTCATCCATTTGTTTTCTCTCTTAATGACACAATATCCACAGATTATCCTCAGATAATATTCATTTCTTGAAATATGTAATCACATACACTTATATAAAACAAGATATTTTCAGTGAACAAGAAATTTAAAAAACATATAGTTAAATGAAGAACTGTTTCCATAATGCTTGAAGATTTTTAAAATGCAAATATTTCTGCTCGCAATACAGCACCTAGCCAAAATGTAATCATTAGGTGAAATATCAGAAAATATTTATATGTTGATTCTTTTTTAAAATCTAATTTTATTTCTACAATTGCAATTTTATTTATCCAAGCATAAATAAACAAATAATTTTTCTTTTTCTATTTGATATTTAAACAAAGAATTAATTGTTATACAAAAAAATCCTTCAATTTTCTACTTCCAGACTTAATATCTCTGGTATTATATAGTTAGGTGCATTCACTGAATCTACCTTGATTATCAGCAGTTACTCCAAAGTCTTATTTTTCTTATTAAACTATGAAAAATATCCCACTGAATGACAGAATGCAAAAGAACATACAAAGGGTTCCATATTAGAGAATAGCATTCCAGTCAATCATTTCAATTTTTTAAAATGGGTGGCTTAAGTCCTAAAATAATTTGTACACACTGTCTTCCAAAATGTTGATTTGGCTTTCTAGATTAGAGCAAGGTCTTCGTTGCTACATCACTTTGATATATTACATTCTTATGAACATATAGAAAGCCACCATAATAAAGTACTCACTTGAAATGGTTCTCCTGTATCTGTTAAGGTAGCAGAAGAGATATCCAGAACTGAGCCACAGCCTCCAAACCGTTCATTTTGGCAACCATATACAACCAATGGGATTTATGCAGATCAATCAAGGCATTAACTAGGTTAGATAAGAAATCCTACACAGATATTATATAATATATAAATAGTAACAATCCTGTTAAATTTGCAGTCCAGCTACTTTGATATGCCAGTTTTTCACCACCACCATAATCAATACAACAATGTGGAATCATAGCTGCCAGTTTTTTAGCTGGGTATTGGCCTTCTTACACACTGAGTTCTTCCCAAGGACCTAGGATATTGGACCATATTGGCATAGTGTATGTTCAGATCCAATCTGGGTTTTTTTTGTGATTGACAGATGGAAATTTTGACAATGCAGAGATTTTCTAAATGCCGTCCAAATTTTTTTTGATATGCCAATAACCACTGAGATCACCACAGCAGGTTTATACCATAATCTTTTATCTTTGATTTTCAGTTCTCAATACTCTTGTAATCTCCAGGTCTTTGTCTTCTATTCTACTATCTCCTAGTATTGCCATATCAATTTTCCACATTTCCTTCTTTTCAACCACAGTCAAATCTGGTGTGTTATCAGCCAAGACTTTTATCAATTAGCATTTGGAATTCCCACAATATTTTAACTTGCTCATTTTCAACAACTGTTTCAATTAAATTTTCTCATCAATTTTTAATTAATTGTTTTCATGTGGGTTTTAATCATTTATGCTGTTATTACAGTAATTCTTCCATTTGATTTTTACTAAATCCATTTTCAAGTTCTTTTATCCATCCAGCATTTTTATTATAATCTTTGTGAGTTTCCCATAGATCTTGCCAAAATTGAATTATTTTATTTTTTTGGTATTCCATTTTAATAATAATAACAATAATAATAATAACAATAGTAATAATAATAATTATTATTATTATTAAATAATTATCATTATTATTTACATTTGTACACAGTACTGCCCCAATTCCCAACTACCCCATAATACAACATTAAAAGCAAAAAGCAATGTAGTAATAATAATCTCCTTTCATTTATAATAAATATATTCATTCTTTCCTTAGAGATCTTATTACAAAAGTGATAACTTCTCAAGATAAAATATTTCTCATTTCCCCCTGCTCAGACAAAAGATATCTCCAATGCATAAATTAAGGACAGAAATATTGATGAATTTTTTTCCTATATCCCATCAGCCAGAACCAGAAATTTAACAAAATGTTTTAAAGAAAAGGAGCTTAAATTAGCATATTCCTGTCATAGGAAATTTCCAAAATTTCATATACCACACAAGCCCTTGCCCTGGCTGATGTGGACTTGTTCCTGAATGTCACCTACTTTTCTATCCTATCCATACCAACATTTGCTAATAATAATTCAGAATTTGTATGACTCTGAATATCCAATTGAAGAACAATAGCATACAGGACCTTCTTTCCATGGTTCCTCAAGGTGGGAAACAAAATTCTGTATTAAGGATTAAGTGGCCAACATTTGGAGAAGGATACTCATCATTCGAAGTGCAGCTGCACACATAATACAGGGCTCAACTGTGACATATAATACTGTGTGTGTAAAAACTTCCTCAGGTTGCTTCTTGTGCTGTTGACACCAATCTAATACCTGATCAATTGCTACCATTTCTGCATGGCGAGTAGCCTATGGGAATAAAACAAACAAAAAAAATTAGAAGGTGCCACATAAAATGGGTTACTTTGCATATAAAGTATCCCGACCTTTGGTAAAAGCTTCAAAAACCTGGCTTTGCCAATTGGCCTGGTGCTCCAATAGGGAAGTGTCACATTGGAGGTGATGGATAGATTAGTAACAGATCCAAACACTCATGCTCATCCTACTCCCACCCTTCCCAACCTTTAGTTAAGAGTTAATAATTTATATAGCACTTTACTCTTGTTATATACATGCTTTGTGTAGCTTTATCCTTTTTAACAGTATAAGCCGTCCACAGTTACACTGTGATAAGATACGTGGCAAACATATTTAATAAAATAAATACAACACACACAGTGGTGGGATTCAAATTGCTTCCTACTGGTTCTATGAGAGCGCGCAGCACTCAAAGCCCACTCCCAGAGTCAGTGCTGGTGAGATGAGCTGTTTTTTGGCTCAGCTGAGGTACGGCAATCCGCTCTGCGGCGTGAATCAGCTGAGCTAAAAACAAGGGAATATAGGACACAAAGTGGTGGGGGAAGGTGGGCAGGGCCAGCCAGAAGTGGTATTTGCCAGTTCTCCAAACTACTCAAAATTTCCACTACCGGTACACCAGAACTGGTCCGAACCGGCTGAATAGCACCTCTGAACACACATATAAGGAAAAATAACTCTTGTTTTTAATAGAATTACAGGAACTAATGACCTAGGACAGGTTTCCTCAATCTACTGCTCTCTAATGTATGGAGATGAGCATTTTCAGAATTACAAGACAGTATGGCCACTGATTGAGAAAGGTTAGTTTTCCTTAGCTCTGCTAAGCATTGTATTCTCCATGCTTTCCATAGTTTCCAAAACCTGAACACTAATTTGCTTGAGGTAGTCCAGATTCTGTTTGGATTAAGGCAATTAAAACAATTCACTGAAGCATGGAGTGAAATATTTTCTTATGCCTGAGGATGCTTGTTGTATTGTATCAAAAGACAAGGGCAAGATTTTAACTCAATGTCTTTTAGAATTTGCTTTATAAGCGAAATAAAACAAAATAACAAACATGAGACTGACCCTTGTTGGAAATTTGTCACAATTTATTTATTTATTAGCTAGGCTTATATCCGGGGGTGGGATCCAACAAGGTTAACTACCAGTTAGGTGATTTACAAGGTTCAGTGATTTACGATGTGCTTCCCTGCAGGCTGCCAGCGTGCGCCTGTAAATCGCCATCAGCATGCTGTGTGCAGAGAAGCAGCCTTTGAAAAAAGCCCCCTTTTCCTGCTTTTTTAACTGCAGCTGTGCCTCGCACAGCAGCTGAAGTTGAAAAAATCAGGAAATAAAGGTCAGGTAAGAGCCCGGGTGGGCAGGTGGGCAAAAACATCAGCAGACATAGAACCAGTTCTATGTCTGTTGCTCTTCAGAGCTACCCATTCTACAGAGATGGACAGAACCAGTAGAAACCCACCCCTGCTTATATCCTGTTTTTTCATCAGAAGCTCAAGATAATGTTCACAGCATCCTCTCCTCCAATTCTTTCTCACAACAGCCTTGTGAGCTGAGAGACAATAATTGCTTCCAAATCACCCAGGAAGCCTCCAGGGCTGAGGGCAAATGGTAGTGTCAATCCAACGTCTTCAAAAGTATACCATGTTGGCTCTTGGGCTGAAAGAGAACAACTGGCCAGGTAATTCAGGAAACTTTGGTGGCTGAGAGTAGACTTCAGTTTTTGCTTTCCTAATCCTGGCCTGTCACTCTAAGTGATAAATCCTCATGGCTGTCATATAAGTATCTTCATACTATCTACTAACAACAAAAGTCCTAGTAGAGTGGGGTACAATATTTATATTTGTGTAAAGCATCTACACAAATCTAAGAGTTGCAAATGGTTGCAATTCTTTTTTATAACAGATTCTAAAAATTTCCACTGTAAGGAAGAGAAGGTCAATGTCAACCAATATAGGTGAGATCTTATTTCGCTACACTGATGTTATTTCATACAGTGCCTTCTGTTTTTATTTTACTGGAGCGATTCCAAAAGCCAATCCCAGAACAGAACAACAACAACAACAAAAACCCTGCAATAGCCACAGAAATTCAGTATCAAAACAATGAAGATCATTCCCCCCCTCATGCCAAAAAAAGGCATGGAGCTGTGTCTCTGCTTTACTTTCTTTTACTTCTCAATGTCTGAAACAGGTAAGGACAAAGAGAACAGGAGAAAAACAGCTGTTTGATAAAAAAACAAGATTGGCTACAAGCAAAAATTTTCCTCTATCTGTCAGGGATTAACTTCGTATTTTCTATTTAAGCTTTCCAACAATTAATGTAAAGAAAAAGATTGATCTACTAGTCATAAAAAGCAAACAGACAGCATAGGAAATGCTCTCATGAGCTTTATGCAGGTTCATGGCTTACATCACCTTGTTTCCCCCCCCCCCCCCAATTATGGCAGCATTTGGCACCAAAGTCTTTAAATGCATAAATGCATCTACTTTCATTTCTTTGCAATACCGTATAATCTACATCAGCGCTCCCTAACCTTTCCAGGTTGGCAGCCCAGCACAGGGGTTGGGTGGGGAAGAGGGGGTGGTTTTGTGCGCGGGACAGGCACGCATGCACCAACACACAGCTTCATTTGAGATTGACAAAAATCTCAAAGCAGTTTATAAACTGCAGTCATATCAACAAAATAAAAAGTAGAGCAAGAATAAAAATCATCAGTAAAATCTAGAACTTCCTGTACCATTACCTCCTGTGGCAGGAAGAATCTTTTGAAAAGAAGTTTTGAAAATAATTGCAGTATTTGGGTGGATTCAAGCAGGTGAAGGGAGCCCTGAAGGAATTCAGGAAAAAGGGTGTTTAAACCAACCACCATTATGAAATGTGCCTGGTATTAACTAATAGTATGCCTTGTTTCAAACTAGCAGGATATGATCTCTGTTTTTGTTTATTCAGTAATCCCGTTGCTCCATTCTGAATTTCCTGTAGTTTCCAACTAATCCAAAAGACAGTTCAAAATATTGCCCATAGAACATTTACCCAAAATTGCATCACTTGGTCAGTGTATCACTTTCTAAGAAGGATGATTTGTAAAACCAATCAAAATGTTTTAATAAAACATACAGTTACAAAATAGGAAATGTTTTCTGTTTAGCAAAATATGTACAATCTAAATATTTAAGGTTGTACTCTTACTGTTTTTTATATAGCTTATATATTTCATGATATGCTTTGTATCATAAATTTGTAAGTACAAATTGAAAACAATGGCTTAATTAATTCTTGGATATGAAAGTATATATGAAAGTATGCTACTTAAAAAAAGGAACTGAAGATATGTGATTGATAGCAAATGTGAAGCAAATAGAATGCATTTAGCTATAATCTATTGTTACAATACCATCTTACAAATTAATTTTAATGTGAATAGTCTTTCAAGAGATTATGCTTAGCAGGTGCCATAAATGCTATAAAACACTCTAGGGTGCAACTGCAATCACTGCCTGAGAGCTGGCAGAATTCCTGACTTAAAATGCTCTCAGTTCTTATTAAGAACTGTTAAAATTCTCCCCTCATAAAATCAGTTAGATAGAGTTCACTATTTTGAATGAATTGCCATGGGGACCAAGTTTTCATCATCTCTAACTACGCTGAAGACTTCTCAAGGAGTAGGGTTATAGTTCATCATCATAACAAACATGTATTCAAGCCAGATTTGGCAATTGTTCTTATTGTTATACTTGATCTCTTCCCATTCTTTGTAGATTAATAACCCAGTAATGGCTCAGAAGGGTATTCCGCTTATGCGCACATGAGAAAGAGATAAGAGAGAGAAAGAGAGACAAATGAGAAAATGATGGAGGGAGAGAATGAGAGAGAGGAAAAAGAGAGAAACAAATGAGAGAGAAACAAATGAGAGAGAGAGGGAGAGAGAAATGAGAGCTGGAGGGAAAGAATGAGACAAAGGGAAAAGAGAGGGAAACATGAGAGAGAGAAGGGGGAGAGAAAGGAAGAGAAAGAAAGAAAGAAAGAAAGAAAGAAAGAAAGAAAGAAAGAAAGAACTCTCTCAGACCTATGACGAAAGCAATGGCAAGCTAGATCTCTTACCAAGAAAACTGTAGTTTGCCAGAATTTTGTGAGGATCTTTCTATTTATATATGTTGTACAAAGGATAGGTACTCTAAATTACTTACATTTTTTGTTTCGTTAACTTCATTCCTTCCTTTCCCCACAATCTCATTATTGTAGACCATGAGGCAACCAACAGGTACTTCACCATTCTCAAGTGCATCTTTAGCCTATCGATACAAAGTAATTAGCAACAGCACTGTTAAGAAGGATGTGGGGTCATATTTATCACAGATTGCAAGTTCAGAAGCACAATGCATCCAGCTGCATTTCCTGCATTACAAGTAGCCTGGGACCAGAAACTTGGGTCAATAAGTGACACAAGACACTAAGTGGAAAATCATATGACTGTGACTGTGCTTATGACTTAACTTTAGATTTTCTTTTTCCCACTCCCCAGCACTTCAGAATGCTCACTCAGGTGCAAGGATATTTAATAAGGGAATTGATGTTTGTATTTAGATTAATTGTAGAGGAAAAGATTAAAAGCAAGCAAGTAGGCACACAATGGAAAAACACATCAAAAGGAATGCATTGGAAAAAAACAGCCAGTGCTAGCACATTCCTTTTGATGTGTATTCTCACTGTGTGCTTGCTTATTCTCTTATAATCCTTTCCTCTCCAATCTCTCTTATCAGTCATAAATGAGATCTATCTATGCAACTATTTTTCCTAATACAAGAACAATAATATACAACAATGCTCATAAGAAACCAACATTTCTCACTGAATGGAACATACATAGCAAAATAAAGGACATATATGTTGGCACTGACCTCTGCCCCCCCCCCCCAATTCTCAAAAGAAAAACAAACCGAAATTAGTACACAGCAAGAAAAACGCCACATACAACTGTGATTTATTGGCTAAGCTATACCTGAATCAATAACTTACTCTGGTTCAATTACATTTTCATTTACATTGCCTTTGTTTAATCAGTCAAAGCAAATGCTACTCATATAATATGTTTAATCTAGTGGTTAAAGCACCAGGCGAGAAACTGGGAGATTGTGAGTTCTAGTCCCACTTTAGCCATGAAAACCAACTACGTGATTTTGGGCCAGTCACTCTTTCTCAGCTCAATCCACCTTACAGGTTGTGGGGAAAATAGGAGGAGGAAGGTATGTTGGATATTTTCACCCCAAGTTATTTATAAAAACAATAAAAGTGGGATAAAAATATAATTAAATAAATAAAATACTGTAATAGAGGGCAAAAGTAGACATATGGGTAAAAGTTCTCTGGAAAGATAAACAGTTCCTTCTTCCAGAACAAAGCTTGTTTGTTAGACTATTGAAGGTGAGGTTCAATTGCTAAGGTTAACACTATCTTTGGGCAACACATATTAATAAGGAACCGAGGGCTGGTAACTTGGAGGCAGGATCATCTTTCCAGGGTAGGATCCTATTCATCACATGAATATTCACTCAAAGCCCTCTCAAATATATTTCTACTCATTTTGTCAATCTGGAATTTTAGGCTTCATGGTTAGCTTGTTAATAAAGGTGATGTTAGCATTTTAACATAGCAACCATGCCTCCTGTTAAAGTTCAGGAAACTATGTTTTTCTTTTAGCCAAAATATTTTTTTCTTTTACTTGCAAAATCTAGCCTTTTGGTAACTAAACAATAGGAGGGAGTATTCTGGAAGTCCTTGAATACACTTTTAAGTTTTTAAAGTGAGGCAAACCTGGCTGGGAAAGAAAGTGATGCAATCCACGAATTTCCCACTTGTTGAACATAAACCTAGAATCAAGGTTTTTTCTATTGTTCAATTCTCACCTATAATCAATGTCTCATCACTTGCTTTCTGATATATTACAAATACTGTAAATGTATCATTTGTGTCTGTACCTCATTTAAAGACTTGACCGCCCCCCCCCTAATAAATGCTTTTTGTTTTGCCTGAATTAACAGATAACAGATAATCAGAGTTGGAAGGGACCTTGTAGGTCATCTAGTCCAACTCCCCGCCCAAGCAGGAGACCCTACACCATTTCTGACAAATGGCAATCCAATCTCTCCTTGAAAGTCTCAACTGATGGCGCTCCCACAACTTCCGAGGGCAAGCTGTTCCACTGGTTGATTGTTCTGTCAGAAAGTTTCTCCTTATTTCCAGGTTAAATCTCCTTGTTCAGTTTCCATCCATTATTTCCTGTCTGGCCTATTATTTGGTGATTCATATTTTTGAGTGGATGAAGAAGCCTCTTTTGCAAAAGTAAAAATCTCTCTCTCTCTCAAATTCAGGGATCAAGTTCTTATCATCTCCATGCCAAACCTTGAATGCTTGAGTTTCTAAGCAACAATGTCTGCCATTAGCTTTTCCTTATTAATATAGCTATGACAGTTTGAAGTGCACTTCCAAATAATTCTTCAGGTTAGATTCCTGCCGTTCTGTCTAAGGTGATGCTAGGGAAATTGGTTTATATATACAATAATATTTGATAGATGAGGGGTCCTCAATGCTCTCTGAGCTTGTTTTCTTGCCATATGCCACCATGTTATGTCTATCAAGAGCCATGGTGGTGTAGTGGTTAGCATGCAGTACTGCAGGCTACTGCTGACTGCAGGCTGCCCATAAGTTTGGCAGTTTGAATCTCACTGACTCAAGGTTGACTCAGCCTTCCATCCTTCCAAGGTCGGTAAAATGAGGACCCAGGTTGTTGGGGGCAATAAAGATGTTGACTCTGTAAACCTCTTAAGAGAGGGCTGTAAAGCACTGTGAAGTGGTATATAAGGCTAAGTGCTATTGCTATTACCCAAACTAGGAAACATCATCAGTACTAGTCATGATGTTGTTACCTAATCTGGATAATGATCATCGAGCACTGTGATGTTACCTAGCTTGAGCAATGAAATGTCTGCAATTTTTTTTAGGAGGCAACTGGACTTTCTTGTTTTTTCTTTGAAGACGTTTTACTTCTCATCCAAGAAGCTTCTTCAGCTCTGACTGGATTGTGGGGAATGGAAGAATTCACATTCCTTGCAGACAGATGGTAATCTGCTCCTTTCAGAGAGGGGTGTCAAACTCGTGTCATCACAGCATCGTTTTTCCCATCATTAAACCGGGTGGGGGCAGGACAAGCACATGACACATCAGGCCCACGGGCTGCAAGTTTGACACCCCTGTTTTAGAGAGTTGTTGAAGCATTTGGAGGTTTATTTGTGTCCTCAGGTCACCTGGTTCCTATGGTCTTTAATTTTTTTCTTTGGTAATCCATTCATACTCTTACACCATTCAAAGGATGTTCATCCCAAATTGGATAACTAAAAATCTACAGAGATTCTCAGTCATTCAGGTCATGGTGGTCCCAAAGGTGCTTTTTCTCAGGAGGCAACTGGGCTTTCTTGTTTTTTTTCTTTGAAGCCTTCTTGTCTTCGCTTCTTGTCCAAGAAGCTTCTTCAGCTCTGACAGGATGGTGGGGAATAGAAGGATTTGTTTGTCTAGTTGTCTGCAAGGAATATAAATCCTTCTATTCCCCACCATCCTGTCACAGCTGAAGAAGCTTCTTGGACAAGAAGTGAAGCCAAGAAGTCTTCAAAGAAAAAAAAAACCAGAAAGTCCAGTTGCCTCCTGAAAAAAGACTGGATGACTGAGAATCTCTATAGTAATGTCTGCAAGAATATAACCAAATTCAGAGAGCATCAAGGACTTCTCATTTTAAATCCCCTGGAAACCTTATTTAAGATGATTGGAAGAGACATCTGACCGAGAGAGAGAGAGATAGCACAAAAGATAACTCCCAAACCATTCACGGGGGGAATGTCGCCCAGTAAACGCGTTTTCTTCCAGTATCTCCCAACTCCGAAAAGCTCGCAACCCTCTGTTTCCTTTCTTTCTTTTTCTTGCGGGACGACCTCTCCGCTCAATAACCCCTTCGGTTGCTTCTCTGCGAGCGAGCCCTCACCATATCTACAGCTTTGTCCATCCAGGCCTCAGTTTCCCCCGCGCTCGCCGGCCACCTCTCCGCCGCTTCCATCTCTGTAGAGGAAAGCGTCGCCGCTTACGGAACGGAAAGTAAAGGGCAAACGGATCCGAGGGGGAACGAAATGAAGGGCGAACCGCGGCCAAGCTGCCGGGGGGGTGGGGTGGGGGTGGGGAGACTCGAATTGCGAGGAGGATGTGGGCCGAACGAAGCCGGCGGAGCTTCCTGCGGCGCGCGGGGGACGGGTGGGCGGAGCGGCGGCTTTACTGAGAATCCTCATCTGCCGCCGCCGCCGCCGCCGCCGCCGCCGCGATGCTGCTGGCCGTGTGGGGCTTCTTGAAGCGTCACAAAAAGAAATGCTTCTTCTTGGGCGCTTTCCTAGGCGGTGAGTTTTTCCCCACCCCACTCCGGGCATTTTCCGGGCCTTCGCTTGCTCTGCTGTCCAGAAACAGCTGTTAACAAGCAGCCCTACCTGATCCCGAGCGCCCCCTGCGCGTCCGCCCCCCTAAAATCTGCAGGACGTTTTCTGCTCGCCCCCTTTTTAAGTGTGTAGGGTCTCCCGCTTGGGTGTGGCGGTGGGGGTTGGATTAGATGACCTACAAGGTCCCTTCCAACTCTGATTCTCTGTTATCTGAAGTTTAGCTTCGTTTATCCAGAAGTCAGCCCACTGTGCCGAGTGGGCTTTCTCCTAAGCAAAGGGTGCATGAGGATTGCCACCTTAACTCCTGGTTAATTTACCCATTTTCTTCTTCGTTCTCTGTATGTTCACCTATGTTGGCTAAAAATCCCATCCTCTTGCTCGAGGGGTCGATATGGGGAGAGTTTCCTCCTACTGACCCCCACTTCTCTCTTTTCAAGACTGTCTTTCTTGCTCCTTGTTGTACATATCCTGATATTTCTTCCTTTTTAACATTGATATCTAAATAAATATACTATGGTGAATTCATTTATATATCATTTGTTACAGCAAACCAAGTTAAAATAAACTCAAGCAATAATGAACAGAAGATTCAAGCATATGCTTACCTGAGCTCATATTTGCCAGTATCGGCTTGAACGTTTCCCCCTTTTTAGATAAGAGTTACAAACCAAGTAAATTTAGCTGTAATTCCCAGAGCATTATCTTTAGTAGAAGAAGAAGAAATAACTTCTTGTTGATCATTTGGCTCTGGAAAATAAGTGGCAGATTTATGGGGCTTTGTACAAATAGGATAATGAAAGAAAGGATGAGAGAGCTACAGTCACATTTGCTGGGCCTGGGTGAAAGCAATGTTTCAAAACCTGTCTTGAAGCACTGTTAATGGTAGTAGTTGCCTTTGCAACTGAGTTTAAAATCTCCTCTCACTAGAAGATTCTGAATTCATAAATATATTTCATTGAATGGGAATTTGTAATTAAAGGAAACCAAGTTGCCAGCTTAGTATAAATAAATAATGAAATGGAAACTGATACATTGTACAACAGAAGAGTGCTTGATTAAGAAATGCTTAGTTAAGAATTTATCTTGCCTGAAAAGTTCCCCCATTGGAGATGTAGAGCCTACTGATAAAAGAGATTCAAGTTCAGACAGATTCTTTAATTAGTTCACATGTTCTGGATCAACCTCCTTCTTCATTTACAATTACATGAACAGACTTGTACAATACTTTCTTGTTTCAAGTGTATCTTGTCACCCACTTGAGAAAGCATCTTTTTTTCCCTAAATACAGAAGCTTCATTCCATGGTCTTGCCAAATGCAGTTCTTTCTTTAATGCTTCTCTGGATGTATATTATTCTTTGGCTGATCAACCATATCCCAAATTGTCAGTAGCTTGGTATTTCAGAGAATGTAGTGTGATATATATGTATGTATGTCTTTTGTAGGGGTTTATGTACTTGGAAAATATGGTCAGAAAAAAATGAAAGAAATTCAAGAAAGAGAAGCAGCAGAATATATAGCACAAGCAAGAAGGCAGTATCATTTTGAAAGTAACCAAAGGACTTGCAATATGACAGGTAAGGTGGTACTGTAGCTATTTTGTTTGTCAAAGAAATCAAAGTCTGAAGCTCACTGTCTGTCAAATTCCCTTTTTTTCAGTACTTGTTTTAATATCTAACTCCTGTTTCTTTAATGAAACAATTGCTGCAGATGAAATAATGTTTAGAACAATGTTTGCTAACTTGGGCAGCTCATCAAAACATAACTACCATAAATACAAACAGATTTGTAAGCTATTTTTTCTATTTCTAAATTGTTAATTGACTATAAATCATAACTGAGCAGAGGCAAAATATGATTAGCTTAACAGTAGTTTGGTACTATGTGTGAACTAAATCAGTACTGTTAGTCATACCAATACGGACAGGTTAGTATAATAAATAGGATTCAGAAAGTCGTATGTCTAGTTCTCCATTTTCAGGAGGGCTCTTTTTTTTTAATCAGTAGTGCGTAATCTCACATAGCAGATTCCTTTTGAAACTGATGGGCTGTCAGTGATCCTTACATTTACAGTTTTCTAAAGGTTATTTTAAATAAGCCTTAAATATTTCTACCAATGTTATGTTATAAAGATCTTTGCATCCAGTTTTACAGTAACATCCTCACTGTTATAATCAAGTTATTATTTTTACTTTGTTAATGATGCTCCATACCTTCTAATAATTCTTATCATCTGCTTTTTAGTACTATCAATGCTTCCAACATTAAGAGACACTTTGATGTATCAGCTGAATTCCGAGAGTCTCACGTCCCTGCTGAAAAACAAGTAAGCATAAACTGTCAAGAGATGATAAGCGCACCAACGTGCCTACTGTCCCTATCCTATTGTTTCTTTTTATTTTTCTTATATATATCCATTTCATGTATTCATAACTATGTTTATACTTATGCCTGTTATCTTATAATCGCTTGACAAAATAAATAAAATAAAATAAAAATAAATAGTTTGTTTTGAATGCCTGTCCTTTAGGTTTTAGTAGTATGTATGTACATAATGTTAGCATGCACAAAGGATTTGTTTTCTGTAACCAAACACTCTACCCATGTTTCCCTGAAAATAGGACTGGGACTGATATTTGGGGGGGCTCCAAAATAAGTAGTAGGGCTTGCTTTCAGGGATGTCTTATTTTTTTCCCCATGTATGAGAGGCCCACTTCTGCTTGCTAGTGGCTGCAACGGGGCAAACCGCATGGCATGCCAGTGCTGCTGTAGCAAGGCAAGGGGGTGGAAGTGCCCCATGTGCCCTGCGCCAACTTACCTCAGGGCCCCACAGCCAGACCATCATGCCCCAACACCTGTATCTTGTTGCAGTGGCTCCAGCAGCCCCATCCAGCAGGACCCAGTGTGGCCACCGGCCCACTTCTTATTCTTGTTCATGCCCACAACAGAGCAGGCAAGCCAAGAGACGGTGGGGCAGAGTGGGGGCGTGGCTATGGGAGGCTTGTCTTTGTGTCTCTCAGCTTTCCTGCAGCTGCGTAGCGCATCAGGATCGCTTGCCTTCTCCCCCATGCCTCTGCCTCCATCTGCTGCCAATACCGCTGTGCAAAGATGAGCATCCTGCAGCCACTTGCCCGCTCTGGCCCACCAACTCTTTGCTCTCCTACGTCCCATGTGGCATGTCTGGATCTCATGCCACCCCCACCCCGCACTTGCTACTTGGACAAGTAATCAACTCACCGGTGATATGCAAGCTGAGGCTGCTGCCAAACACCATCAACCCCTGCCACCTCTGGTACTGACCACGTCCCCCCACTGACGACCTTAACTAGGGCTTATTTTGGAGTAGGGCTTATATTAGGAGCAGGCTAAAACATGCTATGGCTTATTTGGGGGGTAGGTCTTATTTTTGGAGAAATTGGTTAAAGTGTTTTCTTGCCAAAGTCATGTAAGATTTACATAGCTTATCGTGTACTATATGAATTAACTTTAAGGGAGGAAAACTTTGCCATTAAAGTGTCTGAATCCTTTTTTCATGCTATTGTTTTATGTACAAAACTCATAGATGATTCTGCGTTCTGGTTAAATTACTTTTTTTTTTTTAACATGTCTTCTGAAATATTTATTACCAAGGCAACCGAGGGCTACACATTTGTATTTTTTTCAGCATCACAAACACAGATTTATTCCAGTGCTATATGAGCAATCGTGCTTATGCAGTTGAACTTCTGTTCCTTTCCAATGTGCACAGAAGAATGGGTAGGATTAATAATCCATTCTGTTGATGGAACAGCGTCTCTCAACTGAATGGCATCATTGCATAAGCTCCTGTGCTTTGCAAACATTCTCTTTATTACAGTATCACTTTCCAAAATCCCAGCATTTATTTTCTCCCTCATCATATTTTTATGCTTGATTTTTTTTTTGTTTGAAGTGGACTGAAATGGAGCTCTTCAATTAATTATAAATGTGTTTATTCTTTCTGTAGGCCAGCCAATAAATTAGAAATATGGGAAGAATTGAAGATTATAAGTAAGTCAAATGAACCATTGTGCTTGTGATCCATTGAGCCTCTTTAGGTATACATAGAATGAAACTTTTCTTTCTTCGGTATTACACTTTCTGGCTACTGTGCTTCAAGCACTATTCCAATGAACATTATGATTTGTCATGAAGAAAACACATTTACTCAAAAGTAAACCTTACTGTTTGTTAAGTGGAAATGTTGAATTAATGTTCTGACCAAGGCTTCCTGAGACTAATTAATCACATGCTTAGTCCAAACAATTTTCTTTTTATTTCAACCCTGGGAATTATATTCATTCCCAGCCTGTAATGAGTCCCAAACAGTCTCTTGAGATAAGCACCCACCTTTCTGTTCTTTGAATTGCTGCCAACAATTAAAGTGCCAAATTAACTGTAAAATGACAAAGTCCACACAGAGCTTCAAGGTTTAATCTGAACAAAGCGAACAACGTTGCTTCCTGCAAAGGGTCCTGTCCCTTTGCTCCTCCTTTATGTCTTATGGGAGAGGCCAATCACCTCCAAGCGTTACTCCCAAGTCACCCCTTTTGTCTTAACTGTTCTTGCCTTCTGGCAGCTCTGTGCATGCGTGCACTGGGAACAGGCTCCCATTGTTCCTCTGCCTCACTGCTGTC